GTAGAGCAGAGTACATGTTAAGTTTCAACAAAGAGCCCAGGTTTAGGGCTTAGGTTGGGCCAGCAACAACAGGGATGCTTCAGGGATAAGGTCAGACTTGTGAAGCTGAGGTATGGGCTCGAGGGTCCTTACCGCAGGGTTGACAGGGGATGTCATAGGGCTTGTGTGCTAGAGGGCATGCTATATCAACAAGAGTTGTGTCGGGTCGGGCTCACACAGTGCCCTTTGTTTTCTGCACATGCACATGACTCTGAGAAACCCGAGGACCTAGAGCATGTAGAATATATATTTATATATATATGATATGATATATGCAGTTAGCTGTGTCCAAACATGTACAGTAGGATTTTTGGCCAATGTGTCTTGCCATTTGTCCATCCTAGCCTGAAACCCTTGCAGTTACATGTGCTATCAAGACATGTGCTTCAGGTATGAGCCGAGAAAACTTAGAGACTGCACCTACCGCCCTCTAATGAGCCATAGTCTAAACTCCTAGTATCCCTCTTAGATCCCCTAAATAATCCCCTATAAACCCCATTAAGGAGTTTAGACTATGGCTCTAACGGCTTTACAGGGTTCAGATTTTATGGTCTACCTAAACCCTAAAAGTATGTAAAATAGACCTTAACCCATAATAACAGCCATAACGGCCACTATTTTGCATACTTTTGGGGTCCAGGTAGGGGTCGCTTTTCAACAGACGTCGTCAAGAATCTTTAGGGCGCGCCCTCTGGTGAAATAGGGATTTCATGACGGAGGATCTCGTTTGGGGTTTAGGGTTTAGGGTATTACAAGCTGATCTTTCGATGTTCTACATTCCTTCTCTTTCTCTGTTCTACACTCCTTCACATTTTCAACATGAGTGTATGTGGGTGGAGATGGAAGGGGCTCCGCAAATAGGGGACCCAATATAAACCGAAATATACTACACTGCTGCTTCTAGGCAACTCCGAAAAATGATTTTTTTTTATCATAGTCAAGCATTTCTTCTCAACCTAATGGGACCTCCCAAATAACAGCTCATGAAATTATTAGTGAAGAGATGTAAAGGGAGCTCCATTATCATGGGCATTTGGGAGGTCTAGGAACGTCCGAACAAAGACGCTCTGGTAGAACAAGATCCTCCCCAGCGGGATGACGCGAATGCACACCCGTGATTAATAAACCCCCTTCTTTTGAGAGCCTTAATATTAGGATCCCTACTAAGGGGAGGGGTTTATTAATCACGGTTCTGGGTTCTCCCAGAAACGTTAGTGGTTTAACGAAGAAGGAGCTACACAGTTTAACAATACTTTTACTGCATGGGGCATAATCATCTTAATCATGGGGGCTTACAAATTAACATGTTGTGCCTGTAAACTGGATATGCTACAAGCACCCCGGCGAATTTCGCAATTCAAGATGCCCAAGTAAATTGGAAGTCTTAATCATACACGTGATCATATCGCGTGTATCGCCGGTAATGAGAGCCCGTATGTAAATTTGAGAAGCTCACAGCTGGAAGCTCTGCTGGCCCAGATCTCTAAAGGTTTCCTGCAAACAAACAGGCATCAACCCGACTGAGGTTCAGACCAGACCTTCGCGCGCCAGCTCTCCCGCTCATCCTGATTGCTCCGTGTGACACTTGACATTCACACCCTAAACCCTAAACCATCAACCCTAAACCCTGAACCACCTTTTCGTTTTTTCCTTGGCTGCATCGCAAGAATACGTTTTTTGAAAGCAGCTTGAAGGTGCTCATTATTACTTAATCCTCTCCCCCAGTAGCAATCCCCCCACCCCGTCTAGCAATAAATGCTTCCTTTCTGGTAACATTCTATAACCTTCCCGGGTTGCCGAACAATCAAATCTTCCCCCCGTTGATTTCGGGTACTGTGTTGGGGAGGTATTACTAGAGGGCCTGGATTCCTTGTATGAATTTCTGCATAGAGTACCTCACAATGATACTGGTAATTATTTCAGCAACAGTAGATTCCTTTACATGTAATATACCGCCATATACACCCGGTGCAGATGTTCCATTTTCTTTTCCTGTCAATTCTGCAATAGCCCTAAACCCCAAACCCATTCTACGTTTCATGTTCAAACTCCTTTTACTGATGATTCTCCCCAAGCTAGAGACTTCTTGTCAACCCGCCACCCCTAGTCGTCTCGGGGCGCTCTCACTCTTCACCTAGGACTTAGGATTGAGGGTTTTGGGGTTTAAATTTTAAAGTTTAGGGCTTGGAGTTTAGGATTTAAAGTTTAAGTTCTAGCTCCACAACGAGAAGCTCAGGGATTCGGTTGCTGATAGAAATAAATGGTTCACTACCAGGCACCGGTGGAGTCTGTAGAGTCTCTGTCAGGGGTCTACTAGGGATGGTCAAGGCAACCCCGTATAGGTTCTAAACCCTTGTCCTGAACAACATACTATACCCCAAAACCCCTCTTTTAGTTTCTCCTGATATCAAATCTTCCTAGTGTGGTATTTTGTGGCATACTATAGACTATAATGGATTAGGAATATCTAGTTATTTTTACTATGGGGTGGGGCTTTAATCTTAGGGGAGGGGATCACATTAGACCGCCGTTAGACCCTGTTGATAAGGACCCTACAAGCCCTAAGCCCTAAATAACGTATACCCTAGCAGAAGATAGTGTTGCCACTTTCTTTTCCAGTATC